CTCCTAACCTTGCCTCTAATGACCCCAAACTCTCTTCCGTCCCCTCTACCGTCATCTATGATTACATATTTTAGGAGTATTGTTGGTAGTAGTCATGTTGTCCAGATTTATGCAACATCTGTACCACATTCTCATGCCGTGAGGCTATTCCATATTACTCCCTCAATGATCATGGTCTTCTCTACTCGTATGGTTTGAGTGGTACCCAGCCTCCACATCAATGTGTTTCTTCCGTAGGTCGGTTTCGAGTTCGTATTGTTGCCGAGTGTCATAATTAGCAAACTGAAGATCAATTAGGTTTCCTGAAGATCGATGATCGCGTCTCTCGACACCATTCCTGGCTAAAATGCATCGCGTCCTTTAGAGACTACATATGCACATTGAAAACCTGACAAGAGGTTAATTGTGCCGATCACAATCCATATGGTTTTCTTCAACCCTTACTAATTTCAGCACGCCGTTGACAGTCTGTATCGATGGATTTCATTGGTTTCTTTTGTCCCCTACTGCATATAATCACGATGCCCTCATGGTCGTTGCTTGTCGACTGACAAAAGCATGCACACTTCATCCCATGTCAGTATGTTAGTTTTGCCGAAGACATCGCCGATTTCTATTTGAAGCAAGTCGTGGTTGTCCATGGACTCCGAGAGACTATCACCTCCAGGCGGGACCCCCGTTATACCATCATGTTTTCCCATTCCCTTCATGAGTTGTATGGATCTGAGGTCCACTGTTCCTTTTCTTACCACTCCCAAACTTACATTAGGACTAAGGTCATCAACAATACTCTTGGGAATATTTTCAAGAAATTTCTTGATAGCAAACGTGATCCAGTCCTGCACTTAGTACATCCAAAGATGGCGTACAACCATGTTATTTTGCCAACTACAGGGGAAACTCTCTATTACTACAATCCTGGTTTTCACCTTCTCGTTCCTCCAAAATTTCTACGAACATCACATTTTACTTAAATCCTTATAGGTGACACTTGATGATTGGGTTGCTTAGATAGGTGAGATCCTAGACTATGCTCAAACTAGCGTTATCGCTCGCTACACACACATGGCCGCTCGTGTCAACGTCTCATCGATGCACATAATTTCAACCCCCAAGTAGAGACACTTTCAGAGTTCCAATGTCGCTACAGTGGACCCTACACGATTCTTTATGTTATCGAGACTAATAAAATTTAACCATTACTATTTATACCCATGCAAACCTCCATGATGTATTTCATTTGCCACTCATGTGACCATTTCACCACTCCCCTCATAGATTTTGCGAATAACCATACCCTCAACCTTCATTCATTATAAGATGGTCACGATAACTTCATTATTTGTGATATCGTATTTTAGGGTCTCATAAATGATGACTCCGTGCATTGAGTACATTATCCGCCGGGAGGGCCATCTTGACAAGGAGTCTACTTCAAAACCGCTTAAGCATTTGATGCACGCCACAAATTTTATTTGTGCTTAGGACTGTACTCGTCCCCTTGCTAGTCCCTCTTTAGGAAAGAGCGTAATAAGTTAAATATTTAAAATTTAATAAAAGATTTTAAGAGATGAAGGGACAACGCAAACATATGAATTTCAACTAGGTGTTTGTATGCATCCGAGTCTGCCACAATCTACCGAAAAAACTTTTAGCATTTTCAGCATGTTCAGCTGCTCGAGATGTTTAGAATTTTTTTCAGCAAGGTGTTTGTATGCTTCTACTAAAGTCTATTGAAGACATTTCCATGTTTGAAGCATTTTCACCTGCTTAAAAGGCTCAAAATTTCCAATGAGGTATGTGTATTCTCTATGAAGGTTTGTTGGAGGTAATTTCAGCGTTTTGACACATCTTCACCCACTCAAAATATTCAAAATTCTTGGCAAGGGATATGCATTTGATAAAGATCTATTAGAGGTATTTTGAATTCAATATTTTTAACATTTCTACTTGTTCATAATGTTTTTGATTTTCAAAAACGTAGAGAGAGAGATCTTTCATTCACCTAAATAAATGAAGCGGGGTGGAGGGAAAAAAATTGCGCTTTCTCAGCATGTGAAAATCTTAAAAACGTTCAAAGTACCCCAATAAACCTTTACAAGGGCATAAACATGCCTCGCTTAAAATTATGAATACTGCGAGCATGTGAAAAATTTAGTGTGAAAAATGTTGAAAAAGATTAAAGTACCTCCATTTGACATAAATTTTGCTGAGTTTTCAAACATTTTGAGCAACTAAAAATGCTACAATATGTGTATGCACTTGTGGAGGTATATTCACGGTACTTCAACGTTCTTAATATTTTCACTTGCTCAGAGTGTTCAGAATTTTAATGAGGTGTTTGTATGCAGATGCCAAAATTTGTTGGACGTACTTTCAATGTTTTCTTTTTATTTGTTTATAGGGTTCAAAATGTTTCCAGCGAGGTTTGTTATGCTTTGGGATGATCTATTAAGGGTATTTTCAATGCTTTCGGATTTTTCACATGCTCAGAATGTTTAGAAATTTCAGTGAGGTGTATGTATGCAGCCAAAAAGGTCTATTGGAGGAAATTTCAACATTTTTAACATTTTCATATGCTTGATGTTCGTTACTTTCAGCGAGGTGTAGAGTGAGGGAGAGAGAGAGAGCCTGCATTTACCAAAGCAAATTAAGGAGGGGGAAAGGGGTGAATTATAAATTTTTTGAGGAGGTGAAGAAAACTCAAAATGCTAAAAGCACCTCCAATAAGCGTTCGCAGATGCATACACAGTGTCACCTCATTGAAAATTCTGAGCATTGTAAGCAAGTGAAAATATTGAAACCTGAAAGTAACTCCAATAGTCCTTTGCAAATGCATGAACACACCTCGTGTGAGCTATGGCATCCTTTTTTGCGGCAACTAAAGGAATTTTGCAAAATGATAAAAAAAGGGTGATTGCTTATTCTACTTGTAGCTGATTAGGTTATATGGTATTCACTTGTGGTATCTCCAATTATTATATGAGTGTATTTCATTTGACGAACCATGCTATTTTTAAAGCAGCATACTTTTTTTGAGCGCAGGTTCTGTGATTCATGTAATGTCTGACCATTCTAAGCATGTGAAACTAATGTTCAAATGATGTACATAGCTGTGACGATCTATTGGAGGGTTTTTCAACATTTTTGTCACCTCAGAATGTTCAAAATCTTAAGCAAGGTGTTTGTATGCAGTTGTCAAAGTCTATTAGACGTACGTAATTCTGGCGTTTTCAATATTTTTATTATTTCACTTCCTCAGAATGTTTAGAAATTAGAAATTTCCAGCAAGGTGTGTGTGTGTGCATCTGTGAAGGTGTTTTGGAGGTCCTCTTTTTCACATGCTGACAATGTTCTTAATTTTCATCAAGGTGTTTGTATAGCATACTGATGAAAAACGAGCGCAACACGTTTGTTCGGTAACTTCAAAAGAATCATCCCTTTGATTACTACCACTACTAAAGAGAATTCCCAAACAGAAGATTGGAGTTCTCATTCATCATTCACAAAGCTTCAAAATCATCAAAAGCTGTGCCCACTGGCCTAGCTCATTTACTACACTCCCCGAACTGTTGAAATACAGACCTGAGTTCAAACTCTACTGGAAGGACAGGAGTAAAATACTATAATTTTCTTAAAAAAAAAAAAAAAAAAAAAAAAACATCGTTGAGACCTGTCCACCTCATACAGGGTGTCCATTGATTGCTTGTGCTAAGCCATTGTCACCATTGATGAATACTCCTGCGCCTCAGGCTCCTTTTCCGAGGAGGTTCCTAGTCCCACGGATGTAGTTGTTCCGGTTTCATTTTATCGAATTACCCTTAGGCTACTCGCCCTCAATGTTTCAGTCAATTCCCCCATCGTTACCCCCCCCTGCCGGTTGTGAAGATGACATTGCAGCAACTCTCGGGTGATATCAGCCACTTTGGACATCAGTTATTTCGACTTCAGCAGCATCGCATTTATGTGCTACTTTTGGCTGCTACGACTGCCGCTTAACTATATTGAGTGCTTCAAAAGATGGCCCAACGCTAGTGGGGTCACCTAACCTTGGACAGCAACGGGGGCTATCACTGCTCTGCACAGTCTGTTGTTCAGATCAGTCTGTATCTGGGCGGACTTTTGACTGAGGGAGCCTCTGGCTGGCTCCTTCCTGTAAGCCTAGAGGGCGGAGTCACTCCCTCTTATCATCAGGAGCAATTCCTTAAGTGGTTCCGCCCTGATCCTGCTCTTCACAGGACCAGCATGACATCAACTTCGCTCCTCATCTTGCTCTCAGCAACCTTCATCAAACTCTAGGTCTACAGTCTTCCCCCGAATACAACGTACGATCATTATAGCTGAATTTAGACCGAAAGATACACCAAATTCAGCTATAATGACCGTACGTTGTATTCGGGGGAAGACTGTAGGGGTTGCGATAAAAGGGAGCTTACCCCGCATCGTCATGGCACTCAGTTAGTCTGTCCCACCATGACGACTACCTTCTTCCCCCGAATACAACGTACGGTCATTATAGCTGTATTTAGACTGAAAGATACCCCAAATACAACTATAATGACCGTACGTGCGTTGTATTTGGGCGAAGGACCTGGTAAAGGTAACTCACCCAACTGTCTGAACGGGTTTCCTCTAATGATTAAGGCATTGGACTGTTTGGACTTCCAAGAGATGAACCAAAGAGTCAATCCAAAAATGAGAAAAGCACAAAAAAATGAACCAGAGAGTCGATCCAAAAAACTCAATGAGAAAAGCACAAAAAAATGAACCAAAGAGTCAATCCAAAAAATTTAATGAGAAAAGCACAAAAAAATAGTGAGTACAGGGTTTATTACTAACTTTATTAACTTTATTTTCTTTTCAGTTTTGTGACGTCAATGAGCATGAGGTGTGCTGAGCAAATCACAAGACTCCAAAAATGAGGATTCCACACCCCCCTCCCCCTCCTCCCCCTCCTCCCCCAACCCCCACAGCCGCCCCCTTCTCCCTACCACAATCACAATGGAGCAGCATATTCATTTCTAGAATTGACCGAAAAACCACCGTCTCTAGGAACTCGAAAGACCATGGCAAAATTGGTGACAGCATAAATAACCTCGATTCAAAATTTTGTGATGTCCAGCTGAACACGTGCCTTACTGAATTGCCGATCTTAACCGATAAAAAAAAAAAAGAAAAAAAAAAAGGGTTGTATCTAATCCCTCTATCATACACTGAAGCATATATGATCCCCTCCCCAAGTCGCCACTCATGTGTCGTTTCAGTGTATCATGAAGCATGAGTTATTTTTCCGCATCTCTGAAGTCTTAGAATGGAAACAATTGTAATGTTGTGGTCTATGTACCTCGAAGCTTGGATCATGCAAGCGTTGCAGTCAAAAGTGATCTGAAGATTCTGAAGATGGTCAGCAAAGGAAGGGACGGAAGATTCATAACTAGACATTAACTATTATCAAGTTCATAAAGAGTATAAATAAATAACAGAATAAAATATTGCATACATAGAAAAAGGTGCCGAAAAGAGGAAAATGAAGAGGAACGCTGACAATATCGAGTGGGAGGCCGATGCGTCTGTCGTATCTGACATCCTCATGACAGCTTCCTTCCCATGTGGCAAGAGCTATTCGCTTCACACCAGAAATGTTTGATTGACGGCAAGAGAAGAACAGAGTCTGACACACGCCACCGCAAAGTCCTGCAAGCTAAGGTCAAGCTGACAGCTCAAGGTTGGCGGGCTTCCTTCCTGTTGTGGGACCCTTGTCCTTGCTGCTGCTTCTGCTGCTTCTGCTCTGCAGCTCTTCATTTTTTCATATTGCTGACGTCATCTGACTGCCATTGTCAAGAAATGGGGTTCTCACGGGAATGGAGATCGGCTGTCCCTTCGGGCAGGACTTGACCTCACTCTGTGGGCAATCGAATACCTGCAAAGCGCACATATCGTGGAAAACAGTCAAATGCACATAATGTCATGAGCATCAACAGCACAACTGCATTCTTCTTCTTCTTCTTCTTCTTCTTCTTCTTCTTCTTCTTCTTCTTCTTCTTCTTCTTCTTCTGATTCTTCTTCTTCTTCTTCTTCTGATTCTTCTGATGCATACCACATCATGGCTACGATGGAGTTATCGAGCGCAAAGGCCCGACTCATTTTTGACGTGCTGGTCTGCTGCCAGCATTGCATTCTATAATGGCAAAACTGCGGCCAAATTTGCAATGACAGCCCTTTACGCTTTTGGATCTACCCATTGCATGCCTTCAGGAGTGTCCTTGGGGGTGAGAACCCCCTTAGAACCCCCGCTGAAATTTATCACCCTACTGTTTTATCCCAAAAGATTCCCAGTTCTGAGGCGAACTGAAAGGCTTGCATTGCCTTGGTGAGAGCATTAAACCACCAGTACTTGGGAATCTTCCTCGGTCCTCTGCGGCATCTGCGGGCCTCCGGATTTGACTGGGCAGGCCTGCCTGTGTATCCCGACCAGGCTGGCACGCATACAGGCGCACATTTGTTGAGTACTCATGGTTTCAAGGATGAATCTGCAGGCCTAATTAATATTGTTAAATCATCAGCAAAAAGGGCCAATGTCGGTAATTGGATTGTTTTGCTTTCTCTCCTCCCTGATACTAGCCACCCTTTTCTATTGAAGGGTCTTTTCTAAGTAAGGAAGCTATTGCAAGATGGGTGATGCTAAGCAATCTCCTTGCCTTTACTGATCATCCCATCCGTTATGATCCATACGATTTGTATAAGACACCCTTAATTTGTACTATACCCTGCACATCATTATTATAGAGTAGGACGCTGAGCCCGCTTCTCAGCATGATCTGTCTGTGTTCGGTCACTCCGGGTAGACTGTGAGGACCCCGGCCTCAATCTTTTTACTGGAAATATCAGCCTTGGGCACAGGGCCCTTTAAAAAAAAAAAAAA